TATATATTTATTTAATAATATAATATATAAAAATATTAAAATATGAGATAAAAATTATTCGTATAGCACTGTCTTCTTTTATAAGGATTTTCATTATCTCAATTGATTTGATTCCTTTATAGATTTGTACTAATAGCACATATTTACAAAGAATTCTCTCTAACTTGGGTGTTTGGTTATGAAAACAGCATAAACCCTGTTGCCCAAAAGAATCCTCGTACCCCCTTTTATTGCATTGAAGTTGATTCCCTTTCTTACAAAGTGGACTCTAGTGCACTTAAGTTTGTTTGGGTTCTTCGGGAGCGTTTCGAGCCCAAGGAGTAGACTCTCTCCCACTCTACTTTAGTTTTATAAGATCTTGGATTTGATAGATATAGACGAATATCTATTCTTTAGAATCAAATTTGTCTTCAATCTTCAAGAAATTTAAAAGATATAAAATTTGATAATAACATACTTTGTAAGAATTTTAAAAATAAAATGACCTTGATTGATATGATTACTTATGAGTTTATATTAAAATTTATTTACTTAATAAGTGAGTTTAACTCACTTTTAAAATAAATTTTAAGTTGAATTTAATACTCAAGTACATTTCTTTAGATAGAAGAACATTTATTTACTCAATAATGATAAAGAGATGACTTGTATAGGATGAAATTATGGGACCATCCATGTGGCAAGCTACATAAACAAACAAACAACACACATGACATGCCATGTAGATGGTCTCATAATTTCATCCCGCAAAAATTGTGCCCCCTATCATTACACTTATACTTAATAATGATAGGGGGATGATTTTCATAGGATGAAATTATGGGACCATTTGTGTGGCAAGGTATGTAAACAAACATGCAGTGCACCTAAGCCACGTCATAATCCAACTTCCGTTATATAACGGAAGTTCATGCGTTGTATGCCACATATCATCGAAATATGTGTAAAAAATTTACTTATTTTAATAAGATGATTCATAACTTGGTAAAAAGTAGGTCAATTGGTACAGCAGAAACATATATAACATATTGTTCTCAGAATGTTATATGTTTATAATAACACTTTATAAATTTATATTATTTATAAAGTCACATAACTTAAAACACTTTTTTTTATTTAAAAATATTTTGAAGATAGAGTAAAGTAAGAAAGTAGAAGAATATGGGGAAACTTTCTTCTTTTTAAGTAAAAAGACATGTCCTATTTATGGGGTTTATGGATTTGTAACTTCTATTTGTAAGTTAATGATAAGGATAAATTGAACTATTATTATGAGATAATGTGCTGTTAAATAGAATAATTAATTTAGAACGGTTAGTTTGATTAAGTTTTTAATTGGATAAAAAATTTAATTTATAAAATATATTATTTTATTTTTTTATTAGAATATTTAAATTCTAACAATTGAAGTGCAAATGTGTAAGAGACACTGTAGGAATGCGATACGGTGAGGATTGAGAAATGCTTATGGGATAAGAATACCCTTAAATATGCATGTTGCATCCCCCTCTTCCAATTATTCAGCAACCAAAGGTGTAGAAGCTGTGGCAAAATGAGGTGACGTTTAAAAAATTTTGATGGTAAAAATAACGCCAACCTGCTTGGCTTGCTGAACCAAATCAAATCACGAATTGTTTGATCCAAATTTGTACTTCCTCTTGGATTTCAATGTTTGAAATCGACACAGGACTAAGCCTTAATTATAGATACAAGACACTCGAGGGTATGGCTTATTAGTAAATTATAGGGAATGGAATTCCAACAGCATCAGCAAGGAGGATAAGCCAAAATACCCTGTGAAGCACTGGAAAGTTGTTTTGATGATGAACATGCTGCAGGCTCCTGGCTCCACTGCATGGTATTGATGGTGAGAGTGATTTTCTTGATGACGTTCCTATGAGGGTAATTGCTGTTGGGGATCAACTCCATTCCCAAACTTTGGGTACAAATGGCAAGATAGTCTCAATCCAAGAGGAAGGAGACCATGACATAAGCTCCATAGTTGCTGCAATTTATAAGGTACATGCTAAAACCAGCCATCTAGTTACCAATACCATGATAAATCTGTTGGTTT